ATGGAGTGCTGACTGTATGTCCAGCACTGTATTAAGCCCTCCCCTCCCCTATCTTATTTAAGCCTTCAGACTAACACTTAGAGGTAGGCATTGTTTCAGTCACTCTTTTCCAACTGAGATATTGAAGCAGCACATGATGAAGGAAGTGTGGGGTTAGTTCCAGACATAGAACTTAGACCAAGCTGCCTGGCTTCATGGCTCCCCTGCTTCATATGGCTGTAACGTGTGAGCATGCCAGATGCCTGAGTGATTGCAGAGTTTGTGAGTTATCATGCTTTGTTCTGTGGCTTCCTTTTCATTTGTTTATTTGTATGTGTGAAGATACGTGTGTGTGTGTGTGTGTGTGTGTGTGTGTTTTCATGTGGAGGCCAGAGGTCAACCTTTGATGTTTCAGGGTCATCTACCTTATTTTCTGCTACAGCACATCACTGGTCTAGAGTTCACCAGTTAGGCTGGTCTGGCTGACCGTAGAGTCCAGGGATCCACCTGCATCTGCCGCACCACACTTGGCTGTTCACTTGGGCTCTGGAGATCAAACTAAACCATGGTTGAACCCTTGGCTTTATGCCTTAATAAAATGCCTGGTTTATGTTTTTCTAAAGGGGTTCCATGACAGGGTGCTGGCCATTGGGAACACAGAGCAGATTGGTTTGTCCAGGAATGTGACTCTGGGACATTGTTCATCTTCTCTGGGCCTCAGTTGCTTTTCTCTTTGTTTGTTTTGCTCAGCTATAGCATTAGTTACCTTGGTGAATTACTAAGACTTCTTTCAACGCACTGAGGACCCTGGGGGCAGCCTCCATCCTTTTAGAACTCACAAGAAAGTCCTGGGATAGCCCCATACTTAGTGGTTGTGCCAAGATGGCAGCCAGAAAATGTGCAGAATGGAGAAAGCACTTTGACTCCTAATGACAAAACGGAACCCTTCTTCACTGACTTCTCATCCTCTGGGGACAGTTGGATTCCTCTAACCTAATCAAGACCTTCCATGTGATTTAGATTCCTTCTCAGCTGTTAGAATTTGGTCCCTTGAATACCAGTGGAGCCTATTTAGCTAAGATTTGGTTTTATATTGTAAGTAAAAATAAATGTTGGAAGGCAAGCCACACATTTCTCAAAGCTTAGGAAGTAAAACTGAATGCGAAATTTAGGAGGGGCCTCTGAAGATGCAAGTCCACATGGGTCCCCCAGAAGACCTTTCAAAGCAAAATAGGACTCTTATTCTTGGGCACTGTGTCTTTGAAGTAGTGGAAGTGCTCAGATCCTTCATTTCTACCCCTGTGGGAGGGACCCTGGTGAACTGAAGCAACAAAGAATGGCAGAAACCTTAAGAGCTTGCCTTGGAATCAAGTTTAAGACCTCTAGCTCTGTGATTTTGGAGAAGTTACTTAACCTGTCCATTTTTGTTTGTTTGTTTAGCTGTTTTTTGAGGCAAGTTTTTGTTGTGTAGCTTCAACTAGCCTGGTACTCACTATACAGCCCAAGCTACCCTCAAAGTCAAGGCAAGCCTCTTGCCTCACTTTCCCAAGTGCTGAGATTACCAAGTCTGGCTATAATTGCTGAACCTTTCAGAGAGCCCATTCCTCTAATACCTCTGCTAGATATCGCATGTGTTAGAGGAATTGGATGGGTACCAGATTGTGTCATTTCTGTGACTTCCTGATTGTCTAATGGTTGTGGCTCCTGCCTGTTCCATTATTCATTCATCCCTTGAGTAAATACATTTGCTGAGAACTTGGTGCATAGAATACATTCTTGTAGGGATACAGCAGAGAACCTGCAGACAAACATCCCTGACATCTCAAGACATATGCCTCTTGAGCAGAAACAGATGACAAACTAAATAAGTACCTTGCACATGAGAAAGAAGGTGCAGTAGATAACAATAAAGCATGGAAAGGATTCAGGATGCTAGGGATGGAAGAGGGGTGTCACCATATGGAAGAATTGATTGATGGTTGCCTCCATTCATTGCTTGGGTATGGGTAAATAGTGCTTGCTTAATGCTTTGCAAGGTTCTTGCAGGGGCATCTGATTTGGGAAGCTGTTGGGACTTCCTGCTGTGCGTTCATGGAGTCATGCTGAACCAGGATCAGCAGGATCAGTACCTGACTCTTCATAGTGCCTGTGTTGCTTTGGCGCCACCTGTTGCCCAGATGACCCAAGGTAACCATGGCAATGAAAAACCAAGAGGATGGAGAGAACATCCTTGATCCCTTTCTGTGTATTATTAATTCCATAAATGCAAACTAGTGCTCAGCCCTCATGGGAAAGAGTCAGAAGCCAACACCAATAAAAAGAAGGTGTGTTTAGACTTACCATGTCTTCCAAATTCACCTTTTATGTTTTAAGTTATGGTGAATGCACAGGACAGAGTAAATGAAATTTTAAAATTAAATATTGATTCAAAGAGTTGACTCTGCTCCCCTGCTTGATACCCAGACTCTGGGCTTCTACCATCTTCTTCTAAGACAAAACAAAGTCCTCAGAGACTCTGTGGCATGAGGAACTTTTCTTAGGCTTGAGGAATATGCTGTCTTTATTTACTCATACTTAACCAACCACATATTTGCAGCTTTTCTGTTTGGAAAGGCAGTAAACATGGAACTCAGTCCCACCAAAGTAATGACCATTTCATTTTGGAGATGATTCATACATGAATATTGCATTTGAGTATTATAACCTGGGACAGCACATTAAAATTACAAGAAGATTCTATTAGCACATAATGGAATGTGGGATTTAACCACTGCTCCACAACAGAAGGAATTGTCTAGGCCCCTCATCCACAGATTGTTTTTCACTTTCTCTCTCTGCTATATGGTTTCCATATGAATTTTCACATAAGTTATCTGAAATTAAAAATTTTAACATGGTCCTGTGCAACCACTGGACCTTATCACGTGATTATTAGTAGCCAGAGTCAAGACAGGATTTGATATTTCAAATACTGCCACACTCCAGTTTTGTTTCTGTGGAAGTGATAGTGTGTCTATAGTGAACAGCTCATGGAAGTCAAGCAGAAAAAAGAATGATCATTATTCTGATGAACTAGGTGTGCATGGTGAGCCTACAGTCCAGAGAGTTCCCAATCCAGGAAACTTTCTGCTGTTCCTCCCTTCTGTGCCATGCACTGGTCCAGGAATCTGGATCTCTGAAGCTCTGATTAGCAACCCTCTGTATGAATCTTCTCCTTGTCACCTGCAGAAGTCCTGTTCCATGCTAGTCTGGCTTCACCCCTGCAGCAGTCCTGCTCCATGCTAGGCTAGGCTCACCCCTGCATCAGTCCTGCTCCATGTTAGGCTTGCCAATTTCCCAAAGACACCTAGAACCATGCATAACACACAGAAGATGTTCAATAAAGACTCTCTGTGAGTGAACTAAAAATTCAGGAAGAAAGCTTGCTTATAATTCTGCCCACACTCCTAACACACCCACTTCTTAGATCTCATCTAAGGAGCTTAGATTTTTCCTAGCTGCAGAGACAGACAGACAGACAGACATACAGAGACCAAGAAACAGAGACACAGAAAGAGACAGAGACACAAAAACAGGCATAGAGAAAGAAGCAGAAAAGACATGCCACGTCTACTCCATCTGCCCTGCATAGTTCTAAATGAGATGGATGGATGGGTGTGTGTGTGTGTGTGTGTGTGTGTGTGTGTGTGTGTGTGTGTGTGTGTGTGTGTTCTATGAAAGCCAGAGGTATCAATTTTGTGTTTGCATGGGAAGAGCTCAGTGGGGCCTTTCATTTTTTTCTACCAAATGCAACCTGAGATCATGTAAGTGTCAAACCATGGCAATCCCAGTGGTCACTGAATTAGGCACAGACTGGAATTATAAACTCTCATATCACATTATAGTTTGTGTAGATGCCTCAAAGCATAATTTATGCCCACTGCTTCTACAAAAGTACTTATTAGATGTGCCAGGATGCTACCACATCTTGTCATTTACTGTGTAATGAAATATCCAAAAGATCATAATTTGTTATTTTTTCAAAATATTTTATAAACCAGTGTATAATGTGCGAATTGAGAAACAGCTATGGACATGAACTGTAGCTGGATGGTGGAGTGCCTGCCAAGCATGCTAAGGCCCTGGGTTTGAACTCTAGTGCTGAAAAGAAAAAGAACTATACACATTAATACCAGTGTGTCACAGTTTTGTTGTGGTTTTTATAGCAGAGCTATGAGCAGACTTTCTTCTTGAACTTTAAGTTTCTTCAAACAAGCCTTTATTGAACACCTATCATAGGAAGGATCCTTACTCTAATGAGCTAGGTATCCATTTGGAGCTTACAGCCCAGAAGGTTCCCAACATGCACCCATCTGATATGTGTGCATGCATGTATGCATGTGTGTGTGCATGTGTGTTTCTGTGTGTATCAACCCTAAGCTGGCCTCAGAGCTCAGCACATAGCCAAAAAACGACCTTAAATTTACATTCCTCCTGCCTCTACCCCTTGAGTGCTAAAATGATGTCATCATGCCAGGCAGTTTCATAAGATACTGGAGATTGAACCCAGGATTTCATGCATTCTCTGCAGGCATTCTACCAACTGAGTTATGTCAGTGTGAGTGTGTGTGTGTGTGTGTGTGTGTGTGTGTGTGTGTGTGTGTGTGTAGCACTATCATAACGTGAGGGCCCATGAGCTGCATTCATCAAACTGTCACAGAAACCACTAAAAGGCTGTTGAAGGAGATTTCTAGAAAAGTAAAGGTGAGACTGAATTTGCTCACATCTAGGTGAGCTTCCAGGTAGCTGCACTAGGCTCTCTGGGCTCCAGTGGTTCTTCTATCCAATAGGGCAATGGCAATCCCTTCCCCATAGATGCTATGCCCTGCCTCACTCTGGAAGAATAAGGTCCACATGAAATCCTGGCTCCTATGAGCACACAGAAAGTGCTAAGTAAATGCCTTAACTTCCCATTAAGGTGTTTTGGGGCTCTCAGAAGACCTTTCTTATCCAGGTTCTCAAGGTCAACTTGTTTTGCACAGGTTCATTCGGAAACAGGGCCTGGATCGTCTTTTCCTGGAGTGTGATGCACATATGTGGCGCCTGGGGGACCGGCGGATTCCAGAGGGCATTGCTGTGGACGGTGGCTCTGATTGGTTCCTGCTTAACCGGAAGTTTGTGGAGTATGTCACATTCTCTACAGATGACCTGGTGACCAAGATGAAGCAGTTTTACTCTTATACCCTCCTGCCTGCTGAAGTGAGTTCCAAGAAAGATTCCAGGGCAGAGGATGGGGAGAGGGACTAGGTGTAGCCTTAGCAGACAGTGAATTTTGACAGTGTATTTCTGGCTCCATGGACTACCCTGCAGACCACCAGACAATTCTGGAGACCCACACTGGTCCCTGCAGACCTGACCTCATAGCAAGATCTGTAGTGCACATATACTGTCAGGGATGCTACCACAGCCTGCATGGTCTCTACATGTAAAGTACAGAAAGTAGCCCTATTCAAGGCACTCTACCCCTATTTATCATAGGAAAAAATCCAATATTCTTACTTTTCTAGAAAAAGATGTTACTGTGATTTTTCAAAAAAAAAGGGGGGGTACAACTGCAAGCCCTCTGATTGTTGACGAGACTCTTTGGAATTGTGCAGTGCATGCTAACAGTTCCAGGACACAGCCACAGCCACATCAACTCTTAACACATCCTCCAGTCATCAATCATGCAGTAAAGTAATAACCATTTTCAGCACCAGTAATCCCTTTTCTCATTTGAATACAGTTCTGTCATTCCTGTCACTCCCTGACAGTGCTGTCTTCATTGCACACACACACACACACACACACACACACACACACAGCGCATGCATGCATGCATGCATGCATGCACGATCCAAAATTGCCCTGAGAAAACTAAATGGGATCACTTTCACTAGCCCTCTCCTTTGTCAGCCATCATGGCCAAATGTTCAGGGCTCAGCCCTTCCTAGGGAGCATATTGAACATGCCCTGGACCTTTTGTAACATCAAGGTGCAATCCCCCCATTGCATAAGGCTCCAGACCATTCTAAAACAGCCAGGCATATCCTAATATAATATATTGCCTGTCACATGCTAGAAGCTGACTTATCAGCTCTGAGATGGGAGCTTCTAGTTTCATCTCCCTGACCGCAAGCCACTTTTATCCTGACACCTAGTCTCAAGAAAACCCCAGTGCTTGTTCTGTCTCCATGGATCCTATGGCACTGCTCATGGGTGATTCTCTGTTTCCCCCTGTTGGACCTCAAGCTCTGATCACACAGCCTGGAACAGACCATGCATCTCCATGGATGGTTCCCATGTATTATCAGGTCAGGGGCCAGTTCCCAGGAGGACTGGCTGTCCACACACCTCAGTGTGAGGAAAAGCTCAGCCTCTTTAAGCCAGGTTTTACTATTCTGTGCACATGTTAAGTCATCAGCTTTTAATCCTATTTCAGCAAAAATCACCTTTTCTCTCCATTCTGATAACCTCCTCATCCATTATCTTGCAGGGAATTTCTGCATCGTTATAAAGGACACAGGGCAATTGGTAATTGGGTACTTTTCCCCACTGCTTGATGGAAGAGAGGTGCCTCTGTGGGCTTGTAGACAATTCAAGTTTAAATCCAGGTCCCCTGCCAATGTCATTAGCATCACAGGAAGACAAGTGAGTGGAGTTGAGTGGCAGGTAGAGCTTCATTTTGCCATCCACCCATTTCGAAGAGATTCTCTGAGAGTTTGGTTGTTCTCAGCAATATGACAACCACACCATCGGTACCCACAGCTCTCAATGGACTCACTTTCCACCCCTGCCTCAGCACTGAAACACGTCCCCGGGGGCTCTCCCAGACCCTCTTCCTCCATTGTGCTGTGTCTGCCCACTTGTTCTTTCCTAGACAGCTCCAGGGCTTAGAAGAAATCTAAAGGCTGTGTCATAAATTTGCAACAGGCAGACATATCCACCAACAGCTTCCCCTGGGGACCAGGGTCCAGAAGGAGGTGTATTCTGCAGTTGGCAGAGCTTGTTATAAAATAGTGTTGAAATAGAACTCTCTCTTTTCCTTCTCTTTCAGTATCTCATTGTGTCTCCTCTCTGCCTCTCTTTCCCTCCCAGTATTACCTCTTCCTCAGAGTCCCTGAAAGAACCGGCCACGAGTCCTAGAATTAGGAAAGAACTATGGGTCCTGGTGCATTACCACAGAAAGCATTCAGCCCATCTTCACTTGTGTTATGGCCACACTCTGTGGGCTCCTTCAACACCATGGACAGAAAACAACCCCTCAATACCCACTGTGAGCTCCATGACTCCTGATTAAGTACTATGGACAGCAATCACATACTTAACCCCTTATTCTAGCCACACTATCTTAGTGCATTGGCTCCTGGTCCAGCACTACCAACAGCAGCATCTCTCCCACCCACCTTTTCCTGTGTTGCAGTGAATGTGGTAGACCTTGGTTTATCACCATGGACATCGAGCAACCCTGCCCTTCCCTGCACTGTAGTCACAGTATATGGGTGGACCCATGAGTCTGACCTTTCTGAAACCTGTTGGTTTCCCAACTGGCTCTTCGCAAACAAGAGCCCTTACAGTCTGTAGTTTCCTGGGAAGCTGTCTGCCATGTTTGCTTCTGGTCCCCGTTTGTTGATACATCCTGAAAAACTCTTCCTGTCTGTTAAACACACAGCGGATGTCCTAGGTGATGAGACAGATACCGTCATATGAGATTCTACGCACTAGGGAAGAAATGTTCAAGGCAATAAACTTGTAGGTAGAATTAGCCAGTGAAGACTAAACAGACATCTGCACCCTGAGATGGACTCGGTAGTGGTGTCCTGGAGAGCCCTTTGCACGTGACGGTCCTCAGGTGGGACATGCCAATCTGACACACTTGGTCGTGTGCTACCGAGTTCTCATGCTTGCTCCTTCCTCCTCTGCAGTCCTTTTTCCACACGGTCCTGGAGAACAGCCCCCACTGTGACACCATGGTAGATAACAACCTGCGCATCACCAATTGGAACCGCAAGCTGGGCTGCAAGTGCCAGTACAAGCACATTGTGGACTGGTGTGGCTGCTCTCCCAATGACTTCAAGCCTCAGGACTTCCATCGCTTCCAGGTGAGTCCTCCTGTGCCACCACACCTTCCTAGGAAGCCACTGCAAGCCTTTAAAGACAGACCTAGGAGCCGTCTTATCCTCACTGCCAAGCCTGGCTGTAACCAGCAGTTAACAAGCTTTGTCCCATGCTGAGTGGTTGAACTAGCCTCCCCAGATTGACTCATTAACCTCCCAATAGCCCGGACATGTGTGTGTTGCTACTATTATGATCCTTCCATCTTCAAGATTAAAAAAAACTGAGGTACAAATGCTCAGAAACCTCATCACACATCCCAGGCGAGAGAAATGGCTCAGTGAAGAAGAATGAGTGCTACACAATACCCACAGTAGAAGCCTGGAATGGCTATGTCTTTAACCCCAGTGCTGAAGAATGGGAGACAGGAAAATCCATAAGATGTATTTGAAAATGGTAAGCTCTGGGTTCAGAGCCCTAGTGGGAGATACTCAACATCCTCCTCTAAGCTCTATACATACAAGCACAGGTGTTTGACTTGCACACATGCACATATAGACAAACAGCACACTACACACATACACACACGGGCAGAGGACTGACTCATAGATGACTACATGAAATAAAAGATAATGTGATCCAAAGCATCAATTCCCAAGGTCATTCCCATCATCTTTGCTATATTGCCTCTCAGTCACATCACCTGGAATATTTGTTAAAACATTTTTTTCTGGGTATATGATTGACTATATTTAGAGCAGGTTTTTTGTTTGTTTGTTTGTTTACCCCAGCACTTTTTGTCATTGTCACTGTGTTGTTGGGGACCATCCTCTGTGGTCTCTACCCACAAATGCAGTTGCAGTCTTTAACTGTCATGTACAAAGGTATCTCACAAGTGTCCCAGAGTGTGTCTGCCCTAAGTTCAAACTTACCCCTTGTTGGAAACTAGTAGTCTCCAGAAAAGTCTAGAATACTGTTATATTACACTTAGGAAAAACCTGAGGAGCATCCAGGTTGGGAGAGCATCATGTTCCATAAACTTGAAGGAGTGGCAAGAGGTGGAAACAACATTACTTTTACAGCTGCTCTGCATAGCCTTTCAGTGTGGAGATAGCAGGGAAGGGAATGCTCACAAGCCTTGGCCCCGGGTCCTACCCTACATGGAATCTCTTCTCACTCTGTATGCTCCCCCTGGACAGTGTGGTACCTGGGTTTCTTCCTCTTCTCTTTCTAGTGGAACCCCAAACAAAAGCCCATAAAATACTAAAACAAATCAGGTGGGGTCTCTGTAGCCATCACACAGAGATGACATTCTGTTTCTCAGAAGGATGGCAGGCACAGAAGCAAAAGCTGATGACACCAGGAGGCATCCTTGCTGTAACGGTGTATAATCAGATTTGCCTTTGTGGAGCCTCAGGTCTCTTAACCTGATCCCTTGGAGCATAGCCACAGATATACAGTATCTCATCACCAAGAGGCTTGTCCAGGATGCAGAACCTCAGCCTCTTTGCACAGCTAAAAGCCAGGACCAAACAATGACCATGTACAAGATCACCGTGTGAGTAGGATACTGCCATGTTGGATATACTCTTTACCAACTGTGTGCAAGACCTTCTGTGTGCATTGGCTTTGCTGAGATGGGTGTCAGCTGCTTTGTAGGTGGTGATACTGAAGCACGGAGGGATTAAAATTATTTTTTGTGGCCATGTAACTTATGAATTTGGTAGGACTAAGGATAGGTGGGTATATGGGACTTTTACCTTTAGTCCCCACTGGTTCTGTGCCTATTCGGACACAGAAAAAGCAGGCATTTTTCCTTTTGTTATTTATTATTCCCCAACATCCCCACTTATCATCTTTAGCTGCCTATATTTGATGATGCACTGAGAACTTCCAGGGCACCCCCAGACTCTTGTTAACTTAAGCACAAACTTGGGTGATTTGGGACTCTCCACTCCTGTCTATGCAGAAAGGATGTGCAGAGCAAGAAGGCTGCAGGGGCAATGCCTTATCTGCCCAAAGAAGAAGAGTGGCCATGCCTTTGTCTAGGATGATCCCTGCCCTTCAGCATTTAGAGGCAGCAGCCCAGAGCCTTGGTATGCTGATTCCAGGAAGTGCCATTACCTAAGGCTGTTTCGAGTGGCAGCATCTGTATGACCACCACATTTGCTGAATCAAGCAAACTTAGAGACTGAACTGGGTGCGCACAGCACAATTAAGTAAAGACAAGGCTATCCTTCAACATCTAGATGCTGTGCTGTCTGTTAGAAGCAGATAGTTCTTTTCTAATGAATTCTAAGGAAGAGAGTGATTAAAAATAAACTCATACCCTTGGGCCTAGAGAGATGGCTCAGTGGTTAAGAGTATTCCTGCTCTTCTAGAGAACCCATGTTCAGTTCCCAGCACCATGTTAAGTGACTCACATCTGCCTGTAACTCCAGGTTTAGAGGATCCAGCTCCCTTTTTGGTGTCTTTGGGAACTCACATACATATGGCATGTACGCACATACACACACACACAGAGAGAGAGAGAGAGAGAGAGAGTCTTAAAAAGAAGTGTGCCCTTCTAGAAGAAGATCAATCTGCAGTCAGAGAATAGCAGAATAACAGTTAGAGATGGAAGCCATCTTGCCAGTGAGACTGGTTATTGTCCCTATGTAATGACAACCTGTAGGTCAATAGGGAACCTAGTAGCCAAATGAAGTGGCAGTGGTAATCACTTAACAGCAACTGATAACATGTGCTGGTAACTCATGCTTCTGTCCACGCTTCAAAGACAGGAAAATTGAGGCTGGAGCATTTGGGTGGTATGCCCAGGAAGTAGCAGAGGGCATGAACTCAAGTAGGCTGATTCCCTAGTGATGTCCAACTCCTCTCCAGTACAGAGGTGCTGGGACTCAGGAAGTGAAGGTGGTGAGAAGTTCAGCACCATGCCAGGATGCTTCTTTCTTCGGGGCTTCCTGCTCACTCACCAGTCCATCCTAGAGAGACGTGATGAAAAGAGCTTAGGGGTTAGAGCTGTGGGATATGGTGTGAGCGTTGGGACAGTGAGCATTTCGTGAGTATTAGCTCCCTCTCTGAGATTCATGTCCTCATCTGTAAAATGGGAGTTAGGACTCTGGCTGAGTTCTCAGAGGCTGAGGTCGAGACTTGTAATGCCCTTTGAACAATATTCCCAGAGTCATCAGTGTCATTATTGCAGCTATTAATCCTCTGAAGGGCACACCAGGCTCAATCCGCAGCAACAGTTGGCCTGAGTGAACTCCTCAAGGGATGGGACTGTATTTTAACTCTTTCTACAGTCTTAGACCATGGGTCAACACAGTACAACTCCCTGCCCAGAATCTACTCTTATAACAAAGTTCTGTTGGAACACAGCTACCACTGCTCACTTATCATGTTGTCTTGGGTGTTTCCATGCTTCAGCACTGAGAAGTTTCATTGCTTCTCATATCTACTATTTAGTCCTCTGCTGAAGATGTTTGTGAAGCTCTGCCTTACAATTTAGTATAATACTTACAGATGGCAAGTGCTTTGTGTTTTTTTCTTTATGTGCACAATGATTGCCTGAGTGTGCTTGTGTGTGTGTGTGTGTGTGTGTGTGTGTGTGTGTGTGTGTCTATGTGTGCAGAGACCAGTTTCTCTGGACACTGTTATAGAACTCAGTCCTCTATGCAAAAGAGCCTCCATCTTTATGAGATTAGTTGTACCTATTTGCAAAAGTCCATCAAGATGTGGCCCGTGAACTGTGGGCATTCCTGCATAGGAGGGGTCAGCAGGGTCATTGAACTCTCATCTGAGTATCTAGCTGACTGTTCTGCCCTAATTGCATATGGCCTTAGAGTGCTCAGGGAGACGATTGAGAATATAGGCTGGGGAAGTTTAGCATGAAGAGGATCCATCTGTGTTGCTATGGGGCCATCATCTCTTCTGGGTGCAGGCCTTCCAGGTGCTTTATAGTCACCCATACTCCTGTCTGTAACCCCTTACCATGCTCTATAAGTAAACCTAATAAGCTCTGGTTCCCCAGAATGATCACTGGTTTAACTGAACTTTGTCATTGAGGCCTTATCAAGAGGGAGTAGATATGTAAGACTTCCAAGAGGGTATTTTCACAATACTATCCACGAAGCAGAATCTCTCATCGAACCCAGAATTTCCTGATGAAGGCCTAATGATCTGCCCTTCTCTACCTCTCCAACCCTGGCATTACAGGCACACATCACTGTGGCCAACATTTTTACATGGGTGCAGAAATCCAACTCAAGCCCTCATGCTTGGTATAGCAAACACTTCGCTGAGGGGCCCCACCCCCAGTCAGCATATACTGTCTCAGGCTTTGACCCCTAAGTCTTCATCATGGATCAGCCACTGGTTTTTTTTTTTTTTTTTTGCTATATATCTGTGAATAAATCCCTTTCTCCCTCTGGACCCATTTCCATGAGTTCTCAGTTTACATGGGAAACATTATAATCAGCTGAGAATTTTATTTGGGATTTACATTTCTGAAAGTCACTGGAGATGTTGACTGAGTAAGAGAAAATGGCAAGGGCTGTGGGTTTGCCTAGCTGAAAGTCTTACTCAGACCACAGTCTGGCTGATCAGTGCTCTGAGATAGTTTGTATGTAGTCTTATTGGTGATCAGACACAGCTGCTAGTTAAAGGGAAGTTTTTATTGTCATTGTAAAATGTTCATCTAGCAGACCTGTGGTTCTGAAGTTCAGGTTAATAGAGACAAAGGGTAGTTTTAGAATGGAAGAAAGGAAGGGTCATAGACAATGTGGAGTCCCATATGTGAGTGACTGGATTTCCTTGCGGTTACTTGGAAAACCTATCAAATGCAGAGTGCCATGCCCCCAGCTTTTGTTGTGTCCCTATAGTGTCCCTGGTAAGCCCACCAATCAGCTAAGATGCCGGGGGACAGTAAGGAACTATGGGGACAATGACAGGAAGAAGAGCTCAGTGCTATGTAAAGGAATGGGCTGCCATTCCAGTTCACCTACCGTTACCACGTCAGAATGAGACCTAGATTTCCCAAAACAGTTGCTGTTTAAAAGGAAGCCAGAACTGTTTCCGCAAATCTTCCACTTTGTGAATCTGATTTTAAGGCATTCTCCCAGCCAACTAGAATTGCTCGTCTATGACCTTCACTGAAACACTGAGAGCCGACCTGGCGCTGGCCACCCACGATTCAATTTATTTCAGGGTAATTTGGGTGGCAATTCCTAAATGCCCACCATGCTTTGCTGTGGGTACTAACATCGCCCCACTCTCATTCTGACCCATTTTATAGGGGAGAATGTTGAAGGCAGGTCATGGAGTCCCGGGGCTGGATTTTGAACGCGGCCGGCTTACTGCAGTGCCTTTCCTCTCCTTGCATGGTGTAGGATGATAGCACGTCCACCCCCCAACATTGCTTGATGATAAGCTTTTCTCGTATCTCTCCTGAGCACAGCAGACAGCCCGGCCCACCTTCTTTGCCCGAAAGTTCGAAGCCGTAGTGAACCAGGAAATCATTGGGCAGCTGGATTCTTACCTGTATGGGAACTATCCTGCGGGCACCCCGGGCCTCCGCTCCTACTGGGAGAACGTCTATGATGAGCCAGATGGCATCCACAGCCTCAGCGATGTGGCGCTCACCATGTACCATTCCTTCATCCGCCTGGGCCTGCGAAGGGCCGAGTCATCTCTACACACTGACGGGGAGAACAGCTGCAGGTGAGCCAGGTGCTAAGCTGGGCACTGCAGAACCAGGTGCTAATGCCAGGCCTCTCCTCTCCCTGTTCCCCCATCACCACACGGCTCCCTCTGCTCTATGCTAGTGCTCTGCTTCTTACCTTACTCGTATTCTCTGAACACAAGCTGCAATAGTGACCCTAATCATAATCTCCCTCTCCCCTCCTCCCTTCCTTCTTTCCTTCTCATCCACCTGTCTCCCTTGTTTTTTTTTATTCTTTTGCAAACAGTATCTTATGTGTCACCCGGGCTGACCTTAAGCTCACTGTGACCCTCCAGCCTCGGCCCCCATGTCTGAGATCACAGGCGTGCGCAATAATATCTGACCTTGGGCAAGGTGTGCGCTCCTCAGGTTCATATGTGAGGTGAAAAGAAAGTGCTCACAAGCCACCTCATGAGTGTGTATTATGTTCCTCGTTTCAACAGTATTTTACATGCTGAGCTTTCAGTGGCTTTCGCAGGATTTTGACGCCCTAGTGACCCTTATTAAGCCATCACAATGGCTAGCAGTGAGTGTGGTGGTTAAGATAGTAACTGTAAGCTGCCCCTCTCATTGCTTTGTCATTGTGACTCTTTATTTGCTGTCCCCACTATCACTGCATAGTTTACCCTTCCCAGCCATTAAGGCCATCAAGTCCCACCCTGTCAGAAGCTTGTGTGTGTTATGGTGTGTGCATGTGTACATGTTCCTGTAACTGGGGAGGCCAGAGACCAACGTCAGGTGCACCCCTCTGTCACTCTTCACCTCATTTCCCCCACATTTCTTTTAAAAGTATGTATATGTATGTGCATGTGCCTTTGTGTGGGGATGGGGGTGTGGGGTGTGGGATGTGTGCATGTGAGCATGGATGGCCACGGAGGCCAGAAGAAGGCACTGGGTGTCCTGGAGTTGGAGTTGTAGGTTTTTTGAGCTACCCATTCTGGGTCCTGGAAACTGAACTGAAGAGATTTGTAAGCCCTTACTGCTGAGCCACTTTTGCATGCCACTGTGTGTGTGTGTGTGTGTGTGTGTGTGTGTGTGTGTGTGTGTGTGTGTGTGTAGACAGAATTTCTCATTGAACTTGGTGTTCACTGATTCAGCAAGACTGGCCAGCAAATCCCGAGGGTCCTCCCCAGTACTGGCAGTACAGACACATACCACAGACCTGGCTTTTTACCTGGGTGCTGAGGATCTAAACTAGGGTCTTCACACTTCCATAGCAAGGAATTTTACCAAGTGAGCGATCTCACAATCCCTTCTCTGGGGTCAGAGGGCTCCTGACACCCCCACTCCCAACCTCCCCTAAGCCAGAGAGACATCACCTCCAACAGGCCTATCTCATGTGCCTGTGCCACCTAGTATCAAAGTCAGTGAGTGTCTTTTCCCCCTGACCAGTCTGTGGGAAGAGTGTAAACCTTGGAATACAGCATCATGCCCCAAACTTGGGAGGCAACTGTCCTCTCCGACCAGCTTAATCATGAGCTTCCTAGAACTTATGAGATAAATGATCTTATAGAAAATTCCAAAAGACACTCCCGATATATTTAAGGTTGTTGAAACTTTCTCCTGGTTCTTACTTTGGAATGAAGCAAACCATCTAGTTGCCTCAGGCCCAGAATCCTTTGGCTTTTCTCCTTCATTTTTTATTGTGATGGAGCTGTTGTGCCTTGCCGTGGGCAAAACCATGTATTTATGAATCGGAGGCTGGGAATAAATCAGGACAAAGGACCCTTATCCCAAAAAGGCAAAGGAGAATGAATTGCTCCCCATGGGGTATCTAGGGAAATAGCAAGTGCCTTTCATCTGATCTGGGCATTTCATCCATACTGCATTTCCGGGCTGCGGTGCAACCTTTCATAAAACAGTACTTATTGATTTATTTTTCTCATTATAAAGTGATGCATGTGCTTTGCAGAAATGTTTGTTATAGAAGATTCCAACCTAAGAGAACAAGAAAACAGAGACCACTTCCGATCTGCCATGCAGGGATTGAGATGCCAATATGTTACTACAAAACCCCGACTCAGATGCCAGTAAAGAATATAGTACTCGTGAGCCAGCATGGGCCCCACAGGGGTGCTGTGCACACCAGCCTAGACCACCTGAACCCCACATACCTGCAAGTCAGTATGAGCCCTGTAGGAGGTGCTATGCAGACCAGGCTAGACCACTTGTACTACTTGGTTCAACTCCAGCCCAATCTAGTCAGAATGTCAACTTGAAGTTGACTACCAAATCACTGACTTTTTTCAAGGCAATCAGAAACCCAAAGTTGTATGTTGCTCTATTTTTTTCCAAAGCTCACCTTGCGTAGTTAAGGAGTGGGGGAAACATACCTTGGGTCAAACAATTGTTCCCACTAAGTTCTGTAAATTATCATACTGCCCCTTGGTTCTTTCCCTTAGTGAAGTTGCTATTGCCATTATCAAGGGATGGAGTAATGTGATGATAAGGTGTAGAGGGCTTTGTGTTACACCTCAGGCTACATGGTCCTCAGATGTCCTTAAGAAGCACAAAGCTACAGGGAATCCTCGGTTTTTCGCTCACTCAGCAAGCTTTGCTTAAATGCGCATTGTGTACCAGGCTCTTTGTGAGGCATTGACCATTCACCTCTGACCTAGACAGGCCTGACCTCAAGGTCCTGATCTTCACATTCTAGTATGAGGAAACACAGTTCCTAAGTGTGCACAAATGCCTGTTCATGAACAAGCACACACACACACAATTCAAAACTATCCATAAGATCGGATGCTCTGCTGCATTCTGAGTAAGTTCTCATTAAGTATAAAGGCAAGGCACAGCTCAGTATATACCTACAAGAGGAGAGGAGTATCCCCTGCAGAGAGAATGTCCTGTGCAAAGGTCCTGAGGCACAACTGAGCTCAGCACACCCAGGAGGCCAAAGTAAGGTACCTGTGGCCAGAAAGTGGTCAGTTTGGGCAGAGGGGAACAAAACGAGCAGAGAAAGACAGAGCTTTGCACTCCAGGGAAGAGGCTTGAGTCCAGCTGCAACTATTAAGCACAGTGTTTGTGGCTCATATAGAGGCAACCAGTGTGACTATAGTGAGGTGATCCCTGCAGCACCCCCCTTGGAGGCATCATGGAGGCTTGGGCCAGGCCCTGGCATTGCTCAGTAGAGCAGAGGGTAGAGTCAGACAAGAGCAATCCATGGTGGAGATGGCTCAGTGCAGGGAAGCATTGACTCACAAACATGAAGACATTTGAATTTCCAGCACCCATATAAAAAGCCAGGCACTGTAACACCTGTCTTGGAGGCTCAGAGGCCAGCTGACCTAGCCTTAGTGACAAAGTTCCAGGCCAACAAGAGACCTCATCTCAAATAAAAGGCAGAATATGCTCAAGGACTGATACCTGATGCTGTCCTCTGGCCTCCACAGGTACTCTATACACACTCACACAAACACACACACATACACAGAGAGAGAGAGAGAGAGAGAGAGAGAGAGAGAGAGAGAGAGAGAGAGAGAGAGAGAGAGAGAGAGAGAGAGAAGCAAGCAATAAAGCAACAGATTACTCCAATACTCAACCTTCCCTCATGCTCTGGACATTCAGCAACATTCAGTATGACTGACAGCTCCTTCCTGGAAATACTTTCTCCTCTGACTCCCAGGCAGCAAGCTCTCCTCCATCTGTAGCCACACCCACCTCACAAAACAAATACTAACAGCGCATTACCTGTGAACTGCTGGGACAACACCTTGCAACAAGCAGACCAGGGTTGGAGATTTGTAATCATTTGCCTCATGCTCATTTGAGAATCAACTGGGCCATCTTCCCTGCCTCCCTTCTGCATCTGTAACCAGTTGCAGGTCAGAGGGGTGGTTCTACAGCTCTTGGCTGGGAACTGTTGGTTGAACCACAATAGCATGGGCTCAGACAACATTGGTGGTTCTCATCCATTGCCAGTGACTCATCTTCCTACAGGCTAATCTAAGCATGCTCTCATGGTGACCCCAAGAAGGCAAGAAGGTAGATGTAAGGGTAGTAAGACCTGGATCAGAACAGCCATGGCATCTCCCCACTTGCTATTGGCCACAGATGAGCAGGAGGTGGCAAATGGACTCTTCCATGCCAGTGCAGAGAAAGCTGCACTGTGCTCCAGATATTGAGACATGAGGCTTTGGGATCACCCAGGCAGGTGAACACAGACTCTTCAAGGCTATATCGAGGAATCTGAGTACCACAGGTGATCATTTTCATTTAAACTAACTAAAATTAAACCAATGGTGGCCCGTGTCTATAATCCCAGCATTTGAAAGTGGAGACAAGAAAATCAGGAATTTAAGGCCGTGTTCAACTATGTAATAAGTTAGATGCTCACCTGGGATGCATGAGAACATATCAGAAAAGGAAAATAATAGTCGTAGTAAGACTGATAAGATGGTGAAATGCTTGCTAGTCAAGCATGAAGACCTAAGTTCAGATCCCTGGCATCCACATAAAAAGCCAAGCATGGCATCATGAGCCATTAGTCCTAGCACTTGAAGGCAGACAGGAAGATCCCTGGGGTTACTGGCCAGCCAGTCTAGCTCATTGGTCAGCTCTGGGTTCAGTGAGAGACCCCCATCTCAAAAAATAAGTTGGGGAGTTATAGAGGAAGACACTTTATATCACCTCTGGTCTACACACACACACACACACACACACACAAGTGCATTCACACATACACACAGATCAAATTAAAGAATAATAAATGAACTAACATTAAAAATTGTGCCCACATTTCACGTGCTCAGCGGTTGCTGGTGGCTACTGTGTTGGGCAGCACAGATGCCCGACACCTCCATCACCTGAGAAAGCACTGCCAGACACTGCCAAGGAACTGCAACAGCACGGTGTCCAAGGCTCCCCACCCACAATGATCGCATCTGAAGTGCCAGCATGAGCCAGGAAGGCCCAGCAATCTGAAGATGATGCAGGTTCTTTCTGCAGAGCCCCAGAGGCATCCCAGTAACAAGGCAGTGATTTCAAGAGATGCGTCAACACAGGAAGGAGGCTTCCCCAGCCGTTCTAATTGAACATAAAGACTTAAAACTCCAGATCGGAAGCAGAGGGAAGCCTGCATTTAGCAGAGAGGGGACAGTGATTTGTGGAAAGTTGTTATTAGGGAACCACGGCAGCCTCTTATCGCCATGCAATTTACACTCTGCAGAAGCAGCGGCTTTTTATTTCCCAAGTAGAGAGTTGCTGGTCTCCACAGCTCCCTCTTCCCTTCTGGTTTCTGCTCCCCACTTCCTCCTCTTCTGTGCTAAGCTTTCCAGCCCTATCTAGCCAGCAAACCTAAGTGGACCAAAGGCATGCAATTTGAAACAAGCTTACTATGGAAGGTTGGGTGTTTGAAGTGTGTGTTGGCAGTGATTTTTAGAAAAAGCAAAACAGTGTGGGTTCATCAACACCCACTTAAGGAAGACAACAACAAGAAGATAGATTAGTGTTTCTGACAAACTCGGGTACCAGATAAAAAGAGTTTTAGACGTGTGTGTGCATGTGTGTGAGGGGGTGGATGAATATGATTTCCAAAAGAATAACAAATATTTTACAATCTATTATTATCCATCAATAGATCACTGGTTCTACAAAATACCATGTTTCATGACACACTCTTATCAACACAGACATACACAATCTTATTTTCAAGATGTGAGAGTGCTAAGCATCACATCTATGTTATGATTCCAGCTACCTAATAGTCGTGGGCCTGGGGAGCTGGCGCTGTCAGTAAAGTGCTTGCCATCTGAGTGTGAGAACAGAAGTTCGATTTTTCAGAACCCACATTTGAAAAGCCAGACATAGTGGCAGGTGCTTTGTTATCCCAGCCCTGGGAAGGTCTCTGGGGCTCACTAGTCTAGCCGGCTTGACAAACTGCAGGTCAATGATGGAGCCTGCCTCTAAAAGCAAGGTGGGAGACACCTAAGGAATGACATCTGTGGTCACACCTGCACGTTCACACACACTTATTAGCCAGCCCACATACATACATAGAAAATGAGGATACAAGAAAAGGCACCCACAGAAGTATTTGGGCATCATTTCACTCTCTGGTACTCAGCACTCAATAGATATCTGTGAACTGTTGTTATTAATGGGAAGAGGCATCAAAAGCAGTGATTTCTTTTCTTTATTGTACTTTCCTACAGTCAACATGCTTTATATTTATCACTTGACTAAAAAAATATTTGCAACTACTTAGACTTTAGGTTCATAGATAGCAACTTTCAGACTGATGCAGATTATGGTAAGCATTGGATAAATAGAGCCTATTTTAGGAGCTAGACCACTGTGATGTATGGGAGCCTCATGTTGACACTGCACACCTCATATCCCGATCCCATGTTTTTAGGTACTACCCAATGGGCCACCCAGCATCTGTCCATCTCTACTTCCTTGCTGACCGTTTCCAGGGCTTTCTAATCAAGCACCATGTGACCAACCTTGCAGTGAGCAAACTGGAGACACTGGAGACATGGATAATGCCAAAGAAAGTCTTCAAGATTGCAAGTCCCCCCAGTGACTTTGGGAGGCTTCAATTTTCAGAGGTAAGAGGCCACACAGTGTCAGTCTGATTGTCTCCTGAAGCTGTCTTGCCAGGTTCTGTGCCTCACCTGACACTTAAGAGTTGGGACTTGAGAAAGAGGGTGGTTGTGGGGCCTAAGATGAGCTTGTATTCTTCCTAGAGTCAATTTCCTAGTCACATATACTGTAACCAGCATCATAAAAAATGCCAACAGAGAGATATAGTAGTGTGTCAATGTCTTTGAACAGTATCAGCCTAGAAAGATGGTATATTGTTTTAAGGTAAATTTTCTTCTCTTACTTTTGCATCCCATACATTTATTTCTATTAAGCCTGTTTTGGTAATAAGGCAGATTCCTCAAGAAGTAATGGTACTGGTGCCATTTTATGGATTGGGTGAGGCTTATGGACATCCAAATATTTTCTAAATAACTGCTAAGACATGGAAAATCACAGAATTGATTCTACATTCCACTGGTCACAAATTCCAAGCCTCATTTTATGCTGTTATTTCCCCCTTGTTCTTAATACAGGGGCTAGCTCCTAAACTTTAGGAGTAGTGGGCTGGTGGCCATGTAAATGAATGAGTAGATAGATGGATAGAGCTGTTTGGTAGTTAGATGGACTGTCAAACAAATGGGAATATAGGTGGGTACGTGAATGGACAGGTGGATTGATGGTAACAGATGGACAGACAGATAAATGATGGAAGTGTAGGCAATAGGATGGATGATAAAGGATGATGGTTTGATATATGGATGGACAGAGTTGCGTAGATGAACAGATAGATGACAAATGGACAGATACGTAAATGTATGTGCATGTAGGCTACAAGATGGATTGATGATGAATGGATGGATGGATAAATGATAGATGGATGGATGGATGGATGGACAGAAATATGGACAGATAGATAATGGCTGGGTAGATGGATAGATGGGTAGATTGGTGAACAGGAGTGCTCAGAGATGGATTAGTAGACTAACTGCAGATGCGTGGATCCATAAAATATTGCTCCCCTCTACTCGCAATAACATCAGCTTTTAGAAATGTTTTTGGTTTGGGAGATGGCTTCCTGGTACATCATCCCTGCCTGCAGGCCCAGACGGCCCCACATGATCTGGTTCCTGTTTGCCTCTCCACCCTTGTCCAATACTACACTATTTCTTGCTCATAGTTCCCTGTGCCTTTGTCAAACAAGATGTTCTTATTCTTGACTTGAGATTGCCATGTTCCTTTACCTGGATTGCTTTTTCATAGGTTTTTCTATATTTTGCAATCTTGTTTTTTAGTCATTCTGATCTTAATCCAAAGAGGCACCTTAAGAAACACCTTCCCTGACTACCTCCCCTCTTGTGTCACAATAGCATTATACACCTGATACTTCCTTAATGCCTCTTTCAGAATTTACTATCTTGCTGATTTATGAACATATCTTCATTGTATACCAGAACACTAGACCTCTGTCTGTCACTCACTGCTGCATCCTCTGCACATACCATTGTTAAAAGAGCTGTGTCATTAGTAGGTGATGAATACTGCTGAATGAATGTGAGTGTCCCTGGGGTTGGGAAGAGAACGTGTTATGGAGTTTGGGTTTTGTGACTCACACAAATGAGTTTGAGGGCCAGGTTAAGGTTGAAGAATGACTTTCTATATGCAGGAACTTGAGGGTTTGGGAGTGTTAGGGAAGAGATCTCACCTGCTTATGTTTCCTTGCTAGCCCCTCTCCACTCACTGACTGTAGGCCTGTCTCTGCTTTGCCCCATGACTAAATACATTCCCTGTCAAACAAGCATGGATGAGTTTTCTGGAGACTCATGTTTTTAAGGAAGGTCCCATGGAAATTGACTGTCTCTGAAATGCTATGGCAGTCAACTCCATAAATTACTGAAATCAGCAGTGCAATTAGATGCTGCTCCAGTTGGATTCTGTTCTGGGGTCCCAAGCAGCCCATTGAAGACATTAACGTCCTATTAAAGAGATGAATGCCTGGTGTCTGGGCTTTCCCTGTTTATCAGACTGCTGTTAGGTCACTGAGTGCCTCTGGCAGTGACAGGAAATTGTTGGCTATCATGTGACTAGTAATTTGTGTTTTCACAATGGGTCCTGCACCCCTGGTGAGAGGACCAACAGTTTTCCCATCAACAATGCAGAGGCCCCAACCTTGTATGTAGAACTTTTCTAGTTGTGCTTGTTTAATGGCAAAGGTACAGAGCTAAACAAGAAGGAAGGAGGGCTTACACAGCCACCTATAAGCTGTTGAGGGCAACCTTGATATTAGACTCAGGATCTTATATAGTAGCAGATGGTCAACTTAGATAGCTTTCTCTAACATGATGGTCCATGCCGTTGACTGGAGAAAAGGGTACTCCCCAAGGACCTACAATATGCTAGAGTAATGAGAGACAGCAGTGAACCAGACAAGGTGTCTATTGTGATGGGACTGAATTCTGCTGGGGCAGACAGACAAGTAGTGAGTGAAAGAAAAAAAACAGCTCATCTAATGATATTTCAGAACAAAAGGAAACCTATTCATGTGGTTGCTCAGGCTCAGGAGGCCGGTGGAGGTAATCTCTAATAGGATGGTTTCTTCCGAAAGGCTTTTAAAAATAGATCAGGTTCAAACTGAAACTTGTAAAACAGCCATATCATCCATGGAATGATCTAGAACATTCTGAGTGGAGAACAGAACTGAAGCAGGTGTCCTGAGAATCTGGGCAGAAGCTTGGCATGCTAAAGAAGAAACAAGGCTAGTGTGGCCAGAGCATGCTGAACGAGATGGAGAGTGGTCAAGGACGTGGCTGAAGATGATGGGATTAGAAGCTGGGAAACAGTATGGTAAACGTGAACTTGAACATTTATTTAAACTTCTGCAATAGCCCATTTTTCCATGAATGACTGTAGACTTCCACACTAAGACCGAGTGGAAGGTAACAGACATAACTGATGTGACAGAAATGGGACTGCATGAGAGGGTGACTTCCTCTCCTCACACTTTGGGCAGGGAGCATATGACATTCTTCATGCTTCTCCGTTTAAGTCAAGACCCCATTTTTCGCAAGCTGATCCATATTCTCCAGCTTAAGTGATTCCATTTGAGAGCACAGATTTCAAGGAAATTGTCCATCTCCATTCCTTTAGAAAATGCAAGAGGGATACCCTAAAGAGTTGGCTAAGCAGCTATAAATTCATTCTGTATTACCCCAGCGTGACTTTGTGACCATTCTTCCTTTTTGTTAGTAGTGTTACAAGAATGGGTATCCAGAATATAGGTACATAGAAAAGTCCATCTGCTCAACCCTGATCATTAAGTATGTGTTCAAATATGGTAGGTAGATGGATGGATGGATATACAGACAGACAGAAGACAGAATGACCAGTGAATGACAGAATAGTACACATACTTAGACAGGATGGATGGGATGGATAGATAGATAGATAGATAGATAGATAGATAGATAGACAGACTGATAGATTTCTTGGTTGATGATATACAGAATAACATGTACATGAGAGACTGCTTCGTGGGATATAGATACTGTGAAATAAATAATTGATAGGTAGTGCATGTTGACAGGAGATGAGTGGATGGGTAGATGTATGGATGGATGGACGGACGGACAGATGGAGAGACAAATAGATGGTTCATTACTGATAGACTTCCTGGACTCCCACAGAACATAACTGACTCCGAGCATCAGTTTCATCTGCACAATGAGAATAGTGGCAAAGCTTTCCTCTTCACAGATGAGAATATCACATGAGCCAGTACACACAGATGCTTCACCTCCTACCTGGCTAATGTGAGCTCTCAGTGTTGACTGTGGAACTGTGTGTCCTAGGTGAAGAGTGGGCATAGTAATTCCAGGCAAGAACACAGAGGAAAAAATTCAGCTTCTGTTTGCTGTACATGTACAGAAACTTCTCTAGTAGACTTGTACAACCACACCTTCACCTTAACCTGCACACATGAAGAACACAGAGAGAGAGAGAGAAAGAGAGACAGAGAGAGTGAGAGATAGCAGCTTTACATTGTGTTCAGTATCTGCCACTAACATGCCTATGGCCTATGTGCTGTCACTTCAGAAACACTGAGTCACTCCTCTTAGGAAGCATCCCACACACACACTTTGGTTTTTTGTAAGAAGACCACATTATTTAGTTTGATTTAAATCATCAACATAGCTCAGCATCAAGGTTCTATGCAGTTAATTCCCTTTTTGGCAACCAATTTACTTACTGAGCAAATATTGCTCGAGCACCTACTATGTGCTCAGTCCTCTTGGGGAAACTATAGAAGAGTTGAGGGCAGGCTCTCTTCTCATGGGGCTTACATTACAGCAGGGGGGAGTGATGTGTTAAGGTGTTCAGGGAGCCCTAAGGAGATTTTTCAGATAAAAGGCAAGGTGAGAGAAGGTAGGACATTCCATCCTGAGATGGGTGGAGGGTGGCTTGGTAAGTTAAAAGGGCTGAAAAAAGGCACAGATGGAGCGGGGATGGATAGATGGTGATGGAGGGAAGGAACTACTGGGGACCAAGGAGGAATTAGCTCAGACACAGAGACAATAAGGAGTCCTGAGTAGTGAAGTAGCATGTGACAGCTCTCTGATTCCTGAATACAGAGTAGCTTGAAGGTGGAAGAATACAAGGAGGAAAGCCAAGAGGCTTGCCATGCAGCCACCCAGCTGGTGTACGGGAAGTGTGGAAGTAGGACATGTCCCATCTCTGGGGTCCAGAGCAGAATGTTCTGGAGAAGCCAAAGCCAGATCTCCCTCCTGCAATGATACAGGTTGCAGGGCTCTGTTTCCAAGATTCTGGTAGGTTACTCCAAAGCCAGGCCTCCATCCTTATGTAGGAGTACACCAAATGCAGGTGTGCCGCTTGTAAAACCAGAGGCCCAAGAGGAACCCAGCTTCACTGGCTGAGTGGCAGGCTATTACTTGGAATGGTATGCAGGATAGTGATTATTCACACTTGCATTCAGTTCATGAGTTTGAGGGTTTGAGTCAAAGCATGCAGTGTGGATTTGGCACAAAGCGCAATAGTTTAATGGGAGACTCATGGGCCTTCGAGTCCCAATCTCAGCAGAGGTTCCATGACTTTTGCTTATCAGCTGTGTAACTTTTAGTCCAAGGTGACTTGGAACATCAGTCTCTTCATCAGTGAAATATATATGCACAACCATGGACCTTCTTGGGACTTGGTGGTTTCAGGATTTGTTCTCCTGTTTCAGGTTGGCACTGACTGGGATGCCAAGGAGAGGCTGTTCCGGAACTTTGGCGGTCTCTTGGGGCCCATGGATGAGCCTGTGGGGATGCAGAAATGGGGGAAGGGGCCCAACGTGACTGTGACTGTTATTTGGGTGGATCCTGTCAACGTCATTGCAGCCACCTATGATATCCTGATTGAATCCACTGCGGAATTTACACACTACAAACCCCCTTTGAATCTGCCTCTGAGGCCTGGGGTCTGGACAGTAAAAATTCTCCATCACTGGGTGCCGGTTGCAGAGACCAAATTCCTTGTCGCACCTCTGACCTTCTCCAACAAGCAGCCCATCAAGCCTGGTGAGTACTCTCAGGGTCCTTGGAGAGGAGAGTGTCCATCCGTGTGGACCCCCAGGATCCCATGCCCAACATGGAACATGAGGATGCCTTGCAAAGAGCAATGCTTCTTCGTTGGGGATTTTTCCCTACTTGTTTACCCTATAGAACTGATTAATTCCCTCCCTGTGCACAGAGGCAATGCCATCTGTGTGGGTATTTATCAGTTGTGGGCCCACTGGACTTCCACAGGGCTTTGCTCATATTTAAGACAAGATGGGGACTAATCCTAGACACACGCTGAGTTTTAGCGTGGCTTCTTAGCCATTTAGAAAATAATAATTTGGCTCATAGAAAATGTGATACCCTAAGTAAAAGGAGAAGCCACATACCGGTGGAAGATATTTGCTCCCCAAATACACACTAAAAAATCCCATCAACAATAGTTTGGCAGACTATGAGTTCCAGTTGAATATGGCCACTATTGGCCTTTGTAAACAGCATCTCACAGGAACATGATCATGAGCACTTGTGACACAGTGCCTATGTCTGCTTTGAGACTTTGGTGGCCGGCTCCAACAGTTGGGACAGAGACTGTGTGACTTGAAAATCAAAGTCATTTATTCTCTGAAGATGGTGACTGCCACTGGAAGCTATAAAATAGAGAGGAAAGGAAAAAGACATATGTCTGTATATGTATGTATGCATGTATATATAATTTATATGTATTGTTTATATACATATGTATATAATTAATATGTATAATTTTTAAAAACCTTACCCTTGTTAAAAATTAGAGACAATTATGAAAATTAGGAGCAAGAAGAAGTTCCAAAGTGGGAAATAAATGTGTGCCTGTGACTGTTGGCCAGTGCCGTGGGGCAGCTCAGAGATGCATGGGCATATATCCAAGGGTCCTGAGAGATGAATATGTAGAATGAGTTTGTGGGATGGATGAATCCCTTCTCCTCATATTGAACATACACACACACACACACACACACACACACACACACACACACACACCTACCACCCAGAAGTCCCACACTTAGGTGTAGATCCAGACAGAGACAAAGGATGGAATCATAACAGAATTATTCATAGTAACACAAGACCACAAACAGTCCAGAAGTTCCCCCATACAAAAGGGCAGTGTGTAGTCTGGTTACACAGTGAAGTCCCATGTAGTGGAGACAGCAGGAAAGGCTAGCCACATGCAACTGTAAAATATGATGGAAGGGAGAAACTTATCACAGAAGAAGCCATACTTAGGATTATGTCACTTAAGATTCAAAACCAGGAAAGTCAATGGTATATTAATTATTTCAAGACTTGTGTCTCAGGAGGAAGCTAAAACAGAAAGAAGGTCATTGCTAACATACACCTCTAACCATTGCTTCCAATGTAAACAGAGGATAGAGAAAGGGACACTGAATCCCTAATGACCCACTTGTTTTTATTCCAGGCAAAGAGCTTACACTTATATTTCTATTTTTCCTCCACTTCCTTTTGTCAACAAAATCTTGGGGGGTTGTTTTGTTTTATTTGTTTGTTTTGGCTACACTCTTACCCTTCAGGTGTGACCACTGTGGACGGTTGGAATGCATCTTTCTAACATCTCTTCCAATGTTTTAAATCATAAGCACAGGCATGTGGCCTAAAGCACAGGAACAAGGTTAGAATGCCACAGTACATTCTGTACCAAACAGGAATTGTAACTTTCTCAGTTCATGTGTGCAAGTTGCCAGCCACAGGGACTCCATAGTTAAAGAGCCACATGCTGTTCCTTACTGGACATAGTACCTTCTGTTGCCTGATGATGACATTGTTGCAGAGAGTACTACAAGGAAGATTCTGGAACATGAAGTATGTGTGCCCAGGCTCATAAGACACACTCATAGAAACAGGATTTCTGAGTCTCCCAGTGCAAACGCCCCTCAGTGTCTATAAAAATTGATTCCAGACTCTTCCTTGATTATAAAAAACTACAGATATAACAGTCCTTATTAAAAAGGGGAGGCATAGTATTTGCACATAACCTATGCAGATTCTCCCATTTATGGTAGATCATCTCTAGATGTCTCTTGATGCCTAATATAATATAGATGTGTGCACACAGCTGTGGCGTATTGCTTAAGGGTTGGTGACAAGAGAAGGAATGTGGGCACGACAAGCACATACACTGTTTTCCACAGGAGCTTCCCCGAGATACAAAGAGGGACCAGTATCTGGACTGTCCATCTGCATATTACACAACACAAGCCCAGGAGCTGGATACACACAACAGTCCCACTAAGTGGGAAGCATTATTGGCAGGCACCAAGTGCTGTACTGGTAACGAGGGGCCAGGAAGACACAGATATGGGATGGGTGCCTGCAGTCCTGAAATAGGGTATTGGTGTGAATTCTGACAGCTTCTGCTAAGTCTTTGTGCTGAACAAGCCAATACCTAGATACCTGGTATTTTCTTGAGATTGAAGCCTGGGCCTCTGCTCCAGAATTAGCCAAGCAGAGCCCACCTATTTAATGTTTTCAAATGCCCCTTGATGGGGCAGTCTTTACATCCTTAAATATCTAAGCGCCAAATATGAGGAAGAGAGGTGGGGACTACGCATCCCCCCTGCCTCGGGTACATCTGTAGAACAGCACAAAGGATGTTCTGAATTCACCTATCCCAAGAAAGGAGCCCAGGACCCTGCTCATGGTGCCGGTCTCTCCATTTTTTTCCTCTGTGATTCCCAAGGAGTTGGGAGTTATTTCCACCATTCCCAGAAAAACCTTGGGGTCAGTTTTACCGCAGCAGAAGCAGTTCCCCTGTTGGCAGTAATTGTATTTGTTAATGAGACAGCGAACACTGAGGTGGGAGTAATGCAATTTGAGAAATGATTCATCTTGAGTAATTTGCTATTGTTGCGTCCCTGGTAATCTCAAGAAATCTGATGAGGTGGAATTGAGGAAAATTTAATTATGGAGGCAAGCATCCGAGCTGATGCCATAATGCCATTTCCCACATTAACCTCATTTCTCATAGTGTATTTTTTCCTATATCAGCCACAGTATTTTGCTTCCAACATTCAACGTCTTAGCTGTTCCTTTTGCTTTGGATTGTTCAGCCCTTTGTCAGCCTGGGCATCTCTCCATTACCTGCTCCCACCTCTGCAGGATAGAAGCCCAGAGAGAAATTAGGACATGCACCAAAGACGGAAGGCCTTCTTCTCTTGGCACATCATGATGGTACTGCCACCCCTGTATTCCAGTATCCTGGCTGTGACCAAAGCCTAATTTGTTGAAACTTTATTTGACCAAGAATAGGAATCTCTTCAAATAGGAAACACTTCGTTTGTCTCCTTTGCCCCAAACTCTTACAATGTCTTTGTCCTTCCTTTGGCCCTAAGAAGATGCAGCAGTCCTCTTGTGTGTCCCTCACCTTGATAACAAACTCTGTGAATGTGTAACTGAGCCTCCTATAGGTCTAACTAACTGGTGCCAGACTGAGTGTCCATATTTGTCATATGGGGACAACAAGCTCATAAGGCTGGAGCCAATATGAAAAGCTAGCAACCCTGCCTGATCTGTGAGCTTGTGGTTGAACCTGTATAGAGAGAGCATCATGGTGGACAGCACAGCTTGGGAATCAGAACACTCTTGATTGAACTGACGATAGCATCTGCTTCCTCATCTGTAAAATGAATAAGATAAAAAACAGTCCCATCATTTTCTGAATGAGAAGATCATGAACTAACGAGACCCAATGATAGTACAGAACTTACCTTTAGCACCACTGGCAGAACTTTATGAGTAAATGCATTACCCACAGAGTCACATGAGAGGCACCTATCACCCTGCATTCTATCAGTATGGAAACTAGCACACAAGTCAGAAGTCACACACCTTGTATGTGGGATTTAGGTATTGAGGACATTCAACCCAACTAGATTCCACAGGCAGAAAGACTGGCATCCAGGAGGTGACCAACAAGTCAGCATGTAAAAAGGACACCCGCCTCACTCTGACCCATACTACATGCTTCCAAAGATCACTTTGGTTTGGACCAGGCTGCCAGGAAAGCAAGAATCTGCAGCTTCTCCAGAGTTCACAGCAGTCACTTGGCATCTGTACCTTGGCATTAAGGCCAACAGGCTTGTGTTCATGTTCTGGCTCCAACAATCATTACTTGTGTTTTGGTAACTAGGCTTCATGTTTGCTGTTCCTTCTACCTGGAATTCTCCACTCTCTGGCCTTAGACATGTCAATCAACACTTCATTCAAATGTCACCTCCTCAGGAAAGTCTTCCCTGCCCATCCTAGACCAGTCTCTAACCCAGAGCATATCAAACATTCTCCACAAATGATTTGTAGTGAATATCTTCAGCTTTTCAGGAGAAATGCTGCCTCTGTCTCAACTACACACATACACTAGCATACCAGGGCCTTAGTGGATACATCAGCAAGCAAGCAGAGCTGTGTTCCTATGAAATCTTATAAAAGCAGAGGGAAGGCTGAATTTGGCCCATACTGTGCTAGGGTCAGTGCCCTGTTCATCACCTTCATGACGCTTATCACTGCTTGAAATGGCCTTCATTACCCACTCGTTTTATTTCCTTATCATTGACAGTCTTTCTCCACAATGAACCTGGTATATTTGGATGTCACTGTAGCCCCACATCTCTGTCTATCTGGTTCATCCCACCATTTAGCACAGAAGCTGGTCACTACATTTAGCATGTCTGTGTCTAAGAAGTAAATCACCCATCCCCTTTCATATCAAAGAGGTTCAGTACAAAGAAGATGCTGAAAATTAAATGTTGAGAGACCAGGGATGTAGCTGAGTCTATGACATGCTTGTTATCAAGTGTGGGGGCCTGAGTTTACATCTTTAGCTCTTGTATAAAAAGCAGGTGTAGAGACATGCACCTATGACCTCAGTGCTGGGTGCTGATCAGGCAGATCCCTTGAGCTCACCGTAAAACAGCACAACTGGACATATGAGCTGCAGACTGAGTAAAAGACTTGTCTCAGTGGCAAAGGCACTTTCCCTGGGAGAAGCAGACCTACACACACACACACACACACACACACACACACACACACACACATACGTACACACATAAACACTACACATAAATAAAAGTAACAAATCTTTAAAGAATGTATTGTTTAATCAATAAATGTCTGGACCACTTAAGACAGCCCATAAGTACATGTGCCACACATATGCACACATGAGACTGTCAAATGAGCTCAGTGAGCTGATGCCCAGTGTGCTTTGCTGCACCCATTCACAGTAAGTAGACACCTGGTTGATGACTCTTCTACTAAACACACCGTTGTTTCCTTTGGCTTTCAGAGGAGGCATTGAAGCTGCACAATGGGCCACCTCGCAGTGCCTACATGGAGCAGAGTTTCCAGAGCCTGAACCCGGTCCTCAGCCTGCCCATCAATCCTGCCCAAGTAGAGCAGGCCCGGAGGAATGCAGCCTCCACTGGGACAGCATTAGAAGCCTGGCTGGACTCTCTGGTGGGTGGGACCTGGACTGCCATGGACATTTGTGCCACGGGTCCCACCGCCTGCCCAGTGATGCAGACCTGTAGCCAGACAGCCTGGAGCTCCTTCAGCCCTGACCCCAAATCAGAGCTGGGTGCAGTCAAGCCTGATGGCCGGCTCAGGTAGCAGTGGCCACATGGGACCTAGGGAGCCTCAATCCCGGCCTCTGACTTTGTATGGGGGTTGCCTTTTGTACAAGGATCTCTGCTGACTGTAGAATGATGAAGAGAGGTTTTGGAGGCCAGAAAAGAGTCAGCCTGTATTTGTCAAGCTGGCCTCTGGGGTAGGTGACTCAGTCCCAGGGCCACAGTGGTCTCCCCTCTATGGCTGCTTCTCAGTCCTGCAGGTTCCTGTTCTCTCCCTCCGATGGCCTGCACTTGTCCCTCCAAGTGAATTTTAAACTTTTTTCTTTTTTCTTTTTTTTTGAGCAGCAGCACTCTGTTTACTCAACACAGTCAGAGGTGGAAGTGCAAGACCAGTATGAAATCCAGGCTACTCTGGATGGAGCTGAGGCCTGTGAGGTTCCTTCTGGAAGCTCAGCCCACCAGGTGGTCCTATTGCCAAGGGCATCTCTAAGGTACCTCTTCCGAACCCAAGGGCTCTGTTTAAGCCAGTTTGACAAGCACTGCCCTGACCAAGGGTGGGATCTACATCCCACCCTTCCATTTATCTCTTGATTTTTATGGCTGGGAAACCTGTGCCCATGCTAAAAGTAGCAAGCTTCTGGAGGCCACATCCCTGGCCTTCCCAGGGAAGTGGAGGTGTGGGACAATTCCAAGGTTCCTGTTGCTGCTCAGTGAGTTGTTTTCAGTGCAAACCAGAGGTTCCAGAAAGCCTTTTGATGCAAAGTGGCCAAAATTCCCCAGACATGTGACTGCCAATTTGCCATCTGTCCAGGTCAACCTCTTCCAAGGCTGTCACAAATGGTAGCAGGAGCAGGGTAAAACATATAGAGCCAGAGTTTCAATTCTCCTACCTGCCCGTGGGCTGGGAGACAGCTACTGTGGCCTCTTTGGTACTTGAAAGGGAAGCAATGGAGAAGCAAGACTCTGAATCCCAAAAGCGGATTACTTGGACCCAAGCTTCTAAGTTGGATGGTATCACAGAACCACCCCTTCTGTTCTGAGGTCAGGTACTCCAAACCTTCATGTACTGTGCACTTGGTGCTGTTGGCTGTGACCAAACTGTATTGATCAGACTTCCTCACCAGGAACAAACATTTCAGATTGGGTCCTTAATGTCATACCCTTCCTTGCCTAGGGTGTCAATAGGCTCAGTCTGGCCACACCACATAAAAGGAAGGTTGAGTTTCAAAAGTGGGAAGGTGGTTCAAAAAATAGTGTTATTCATATTGCTTGAGTTACCAGAAACCCATGGGTTTTCTTGCCATGTGTATTCTGGGGGAAGGCATTGAGGAAGAGCATCCCTTTCCTCATTGAGTCCCCCAAAAGACAAAGTTCTCTGGCAAAATTTGCACCCATCCTTGTATCTCTCCCAGCACAGACAGGAAGGTACTGCATCTAGTGCACAGCCCCTCCCTATCCAACATGGCAGGCATAGAGAAAGGGACCCTTGGTATTTATTATTTATATGTTTTAGTCAATGACTAATTAGTAGGTGCTGTTTTTTGCAGCTTGTCAATTACGTTATCTTACTAACTAAAATTGCCTTTATTCACAAAAGGCTCCCCTTTCCCTATCTTCCCTGGTCTGCCTGCCTTTCTCTCTCATTTTCACTGTTTCTATCTCTCAGTGTCTACCCTACATCCTTCTGGCTCTTAGAACAAAGCAGAGGTGTTAGATACCATGGCACAGTCCCAAACAGTGCCATCACTGTCAGGAAGTTGACCCATGTGGCTGACTGGAACCTCCCTTTTGCTTACATAGGATATTGGCCTCATCTGCCCCTCTAAATTCAAAAGTGTTGGAATGTCTGAGTATGCCCCTTACCCTGACCCCTGACGCATGGACAAGGATGTTATAGTCTTATGACTTAGGGAGGGAGAAGTGTCCTGAGTGTAAAACTCTAGGTCCACTCAGTTACCCTACATTAGGCTTCTTATGACAAGTTTAACTATGAGCACAAGCTATCTCTAGCAGAGAAAGACAGGATCCTTCCAAGAGTGACTGATCTTAGGAGGAGGAGTGAGGTCAGATGCAGTTGGGAGAGCTCAGGAGGAAGCTACTGTCTGTGCTGGTCCTGGAGCTATCAGGTAGCTTTCTCTAAAAACCCATAGGATTTATGCTGGTTTTACAGACCCATGGAAACCATGAGCCTAGTGCCCCAATTTCTCAATGCCTCCAGTCTTTGCCTTGCTCAAAGCTTCCCTGGGACTGTGCAATCTCTGGGAGCGCCCCCCTTTGCCCCTCTTCTGCCAGAGATTTGTGTATTCTCTACCTAGCCCTGGGAGCCACAGATTATGAGACAAGGTCTGTCTGACCCAATGACACTCCATGACATTTTCCATACTGGAACTAGTTAGGAATAGCAAAACTGAATTTATATCTCCTGAGCTCCTTCCTCACTCACCACAACTAATTCGGTATTTATTTCCTCTTTTTTGGACCCAGAGAATAATTTTCCAAGATATTGCTTTTAGTTTTGAAAAAATGGAAAATTTAAAACAAGTTCAGCATAATTTTAAAAAAACATGTTTTCTTATGGAAAATGGCTTAACTCCTTATTTGTTAGTGTCTTCCTGCTGAAAACTATGTGTTTGTTCAAGGCCATGGGTAAAACAATAGCCTCGGAAGGTGGCTGCCTGAAGGTTTTGAAAGCACAGAGCCATCATCTCTAAGAACCTTAAATCTGCAGTCTGCAGAAGCAAGAAGTCACAGGCAGTCAGGAAGGCTGAGAAGAAAGTTGGGCATCCCTTATGGGAAGAAATATTTTAGATAGCACCTCTCTATACATTTGATAACTACTCCCTCCCAAAGGATCAACCCTGTTAGCTTGTGTATGCAGAGAAGGCCTGGCAGGCCAGAGAAACTCTATTGTAGGGGTCATAAAAGCATAATGAGGTCCAGGACACAAGCAGAGATAGGTAAAATCATAGGTTAGAGACAAAAGGGAGTGGTGGGGAGTGTGGTCTTACTGGCATGCACATGACCCCTCCAGTGAGAAGGGCAGCTGTGGGCTTCCAGACAATCAAAGCAGGAAAGAAGGCACAGCTCAGCAATGGAGTCCTCCAGCTGGTGAGGAAGCCAGACGCCCAGTCCCTGTTTGTTCATTTTTTGTTTACTTTAATAGGAAATCTAGTTTTTCATCGTTGGCTTTTTCCTTCTTTCTTTCTTTCTTTCTTTTTTTTTTTTTTTTTTTTTTTTTTGCTTGTTTGTTTTGTTTTTTTGAGACAAGGTTTCTCTGTGTAGCCTTGGCTGTCCTGGAACTAACTCACTCTATAGACCAGGCTGGCCTTGAACTCAGAGATCCACCTGCCTCTGCCTCTTGAGTGCTGGGATTAAAGGTGTAGGCCATCACCGCCTGGCTTATTTTGTTTCTGAAAAGATATAGCTGAGCCTAGGTGAAGTCCTCTTTCTGGAAGGATGGATTAAAATGAGGGACAGTTCGGGTGGAAGGGAGGGAAAGAGCCAGCATTGAGAGTACAAAGAGGAGAGCTCACATTGGACTATGGAGGAATAAAGGTTTCTGCTTAGTCATCCCCTTCAGAGAAAGCCTGTCTTCTGCAAGAGGGCTGGCTCAGGGGGCTCCTCTGATCTGTGCTGAAGAGGAGAGAATGCAATCTGGGGTCTGGAGTGTTGCCTCAGACCCAGAGAGGCCCTAGTCTGCCCCTGTCCCCACTTTCTGGCATTCCATCAAACCAAGTGGAGATGGCAACAGTTGGGGAGCACTTGATCCAGCTTCAAAGTTCACATCTGAGTTGCCATGCTGCCACCATGCTGGAAGGTTCTTTAGAAGTCACATGGGGCTGTGCTGGCTCACAAGTTGTCTGCTTTGCTTCTGCCTCAATTACCTTATTTTGCCCGAGGGTCAACCCCAGGCACTACCTCAATGTCTGCTGAGAAGTTTACCTGGGGGTGGGGTGGAATAAAGGTGGCTAGCTGTGCTGTACAATCTATGCAATCTCTCTCTCTCTCTCTCTCTCTCTCTCTCTCTCTCTCTCTCTCTCTCTCTCTCTCTCTCTCTCTCTCTCTCTCTCTCTGTGTGTGTGTCTCTCTCCTCCCTCTCCTCCCCCACCCTCTCCCCCTCTCTCTCCCTGTCTGTCTTCTTTCTTCCCTTTTCTTGTATAAGTCTTAATTGGGTTTTGTTTGTTTGTTTGTTTGTTTTGTTCTTTTTTTTAACCTTATGAGCAAGATATTCTATAGGACCCTCTTAAGCCTGAGGAGGGCTTTTACCCACCACCTGTGTCTACCCCTCATGTTGTCTTTGGTTCCGTTCTTGCCAAGCCCCACACAGGGAGACAGTGGCCTCTCTTCTCCCCTCACTTGGCTGGGAATCTTCTCACAGCCTAGGCCTGCAGACATCACTAGGAAGCAGGCGCTGCATTATCCCCTCCCCCACTCCCAGCGCCATCTTCTCCTTTCTGCATTTTTCTCCTACCTCCCACCTTCATCCTCACACCTCCAAAAGCCTTAGGTTTCTCCTTTTTGAAATGTGGCCTTAAAATTATTTTTGGAAAGCTGACATCTCCCCATCTAGTTTCCCCCACCATCACAGAAGAGAGAGCATCTTGAAGCCTGCCTGTGTGGCGGCCTCCTGAGCAAAGGGACTGCCAATCTGTAGTCTGCAGATGCACTACGAATAGCTTAAATGTCGTCTTTAAGAAAAATGTTCTCATATTTTTCCTGTGGGCAAAATGAAGTCTTGGGTGCTCTTAAAGCTCTGAAGCATTCTCCTAAACACGTTGCCGTGGCAGTAGGCTGGTGTCACCACAGGATGCTCACTACAGCTTTCCAGTCTCCCCTTCCCGCAAGACCCAGTGACGTTAGGTACTTCATTCAAGAGTAAATCAGGAGCGTTTCTCAGTTCATTTCTTCATCCTTCTTGCCTGGAAGTGACAGCATTAACTATTCCCAGTGTATGGGTCATGTTCTTGAAGGGATGGTCCACTCCCTCCTTCAGACTCCACCCTGAACCCTTCCATCACTCCAGTGCCGATGGAGGCCAAAGACAACCCCAGGGTTTTCATAGGGAGTTCATTGGTATTGAGCGCAATTGTCTTTATTCATTTGTCTTTTCTTTTAAAGGAAGAGACTCTTACGTTGTTGGTAGCATTTGTCCAGATGTTTGTTTTAGATATGTTATTACTGCCTCCTTCTTTGTTTTCAAAGACATGTGGTGATATAGTTTTTAAAAATAACTATTTTGTTATAGATCATAATATGCATAAAACTGTACAGAAATATTTTGTAATGTATTGATTTTAAAAAAAAGAGAATCTGTAAATAAAAATTTAAAAAAATAAGAGAGAGTTCACACGGCACACGCTGAAAGATGTAGATATTTTGTTATTTATTTAAAGGAGTATTTTAAGAAATATTAAAAAAAATCTGAGGTTGACCAGTAATCAAAGTTCTAATCATCGGAATACTTCTCATCAAGGTAGAGTCCAATCCTCACCAACAGCTGTGTTATCCACCCATATCTGCCTCTTTTCTGTGTTTTCATTTAGTAGAAAACAACAACAACAAAATTGTGCCTTAGCTGTATTTCTGTCTAGGGGAATTTGTTTCTGTCCAACAAAGCAACTTTTTTTTTGCAGAAAACAGTGGATTATTAAATACTGTATTATACCAAAAACACCACAGGTGTACATAGACGCTTTCTGCCATACTGTGTTTTCAGATGCAGAATTTTAAAATAAAAAAAATGTCTATGGAATCTCATTTTATGGTTACTTTTCAGAACTTCGGCACCGGCTCACAACTTTGCATTCATTCCCATGCCCTGTGCGGTGACAGCTGGTACTATATAATTTGCTATCTCAGCTGGGGTACTCTTGAAAGTTGACACCAACTAGAAGGATGCTGAGACCATAGACATGAACCCAGACATGAGGACACATCTCCTCTTAAAAGCTGCTGTCATCTCCCCAGTGGATAATTACAGCACCCTCCTGGAAGTGTTTCCTCAAGCCAGGGCAAAGGAATATCATTTTAAACACTTGTTTGAAGAGGATAGAGATAAGAAACTATCCTGTAAAATATCAGTTTTAATATCCACCTAAAATCTATGTCCTGAATAGACTTGTAGAATTCCTGGTTCCCTCTTCAG